TCTGCCTGCCTGCTTTGCCTGATTTTGGGTAAAAGTTGCTCTTTTTTAATAAAAAAATTCAATATTTATATAAATATTTATAATATTTACATACAAGCCATGCTCAGCCAGTCACATGACCACCAAGCCACACCCACAAATTAGGCCATGCCCACAGAACCAGTTGTTAAAAAGTTTGAATCCCACTCCTGCCTGTGTGTGTGTGTGTGTGAGAGAGAGAGAGAGAGGGGGGGGGAGGGAGGGAGGTTAGATCAAATCTCTCTCTCTCTCTCTCTCTCTCTCTCTCTCTCTCTCTCTCTCTCAGTCAAAATTCATATTAGTGGTCCCTGGGATTTAAAATCATGAGTTTGGTGATCCCTAAAGTCCAAAAGGTTGGTGACCCCTGGTTTACAGCAAAGGTAGGTAAAAGGAGAAACTACATAAAGGTACATAAAACTATGCAAAGTATAGAAAATGCAAGTTTCTGTTGCCTTAGAATGTTGGGTCATCCAATGACATAAAACTAAATGATAAGGAATAAATTGTATTTTTATACAGCACACACTTAAATTACAGATTTTTGCTATTTTCTGGGGTGGTGATATATACCAATTTATACAACTTTAGGGAGAGACTAGATAAATTAATGAAATACCTGCTATCAATGGCTGCCAGTCTTGATGACTGTATATTAGTTACTGATTATCAGTTGTTAAGAGTGTTTACAATGCAAAATAGCTATTGGTCTGTTGTCTATACTTATAGGCTGTCCAAATGTCCCCAGTTGAAAACTATGTTATATAGAATGCTAGACTAGGAGAAGTTTTGGAGGGATTCTACAGTATTCTTATATTATTATCTGTTGTTACTGCCAACAATGTAGGGATGGATAGCCTAAATCTATCCTCATATGTCCTCAGAAGCACAATGTGTATTTTTTGTTTGTTTATAATATTTTAATGGACCATAGGCAAATTGATTAAATAAATATGCATTTGAACTGAATATGTTAAATAGAAAGGGAATGTGTCTCTAGGATATGATGTGCTGTTGATCCAATGAGAGGGAAAAGCCCTTGGAAACAGAAAAAAAATAAGTAAACATTTTATTCTGAAGTACTCCCAAGGCCCATTGTTTGAGAAGAACCAGCCTAAGCAATCCTAAATTGTTTAACAATAGGATTGTGTAAAGTTTTTGAACAAAATATGTGAAAACATACATTAGTGTGAATGAAGCATTTCTCTCAGAATTCTTATAGAAGTTGTGTCTTTTGCACAAATTGCACAAGTCCTAGAAAATAGTTCCTCGTCATCTCATACACTTATGTATGCATGGTCATTTCACTTTATAGTGGGTTCTTTGGAAATGTTGTTTGTGCACACACAGATAATTGAATGCTTTTGAAGCATAAGCCTTGCAAATTTAAAGAGCAGTGTTTCATTCATACTAATATGCATTGTGAAGCATCTCCTTCAAATGCTTTGCATGGTCCTACTCAAGAACAACTCCACTGTATTTTTCTTCTTTGAGTTTCACCATTCTAAAGAAAACATCAAAAAATGTAAGAACATTCCTCAAACATTATGCACAATGTTCAATAAGACATTAAAAAGGTATCTCAAAATACCTTATTTGCTAATCCTTAAAATGCTGACAAATGAACTTATTTTTATTTTAACATTGAAATAATAGTGTTTTCTGTATTAGCTTGCTAAATCAAGAAATATAAGCAAAAATGTACCTGCAATTGAATTTTGATTTGATTTACACATTTGATTTAAATGTGTAACAGAACTAACTTGCACTTTTTATTCATTTTTGGATGCTTGAAACATTTGGGTTTTTGTATCTTGGAATATACTAAATATTGATAGCTTTATCTAATAGACTGACTATATAGTGTAATAACATAGAGAAAGAAAGGTAAAATGCAGAACAGTCATCACAAACATGATGGTATCCCTCTCAAATTTTCAGCTTCTTGTTCTTCTTTAATAGTTGTTAATGATCTTGCACTCACAGGAAAACTATAATTGCAAGGATTTTTTTTCCTATATTTATTCTTTCATACTATATTGCATTTTATGTGCTGTAGTTCCTCTGCTACCAATAGAGGCACTGACCTGGGAGAGAGGGCATTCTTTGGCTAACGTGCTTTGATTCATCTCTTTGAGCAATTCCTTTAAGGCATTGCGGACTGTGGCATGGTTCCACTGTTCTGCTGGCAAATCTTCTAGCTTTGAACAACTGCAAAGACATAGAATATGAGAATAGACAGATGGGGAAAAGTGTTGCATGCAAACATAGCTGTTCTTTACATGCAAAAGCTATGTCACTCTTTAAAGCCAAACACAACCAAGAACAGGACATTCATATTTTATATGTCATTCTTTTATATTCAGTTTAGAAATTTCTTCCAGCTGCAATCTAGAATATAGGAAGATTTGAACATAAATAACTAAATACAGAACTGAGCAAATATTTGTGTTGCCTATCACTGGCTGAATAAGTTCCCAACAATTGTACCTCAGCAGATTGCAACATAAGGCCAAAATGTATTTCTGAATTTCTGGTTAAAATCTCTAAACCTTTAAAAACTATTTATTTCTCAGGTATAATGTGAAAACGTTAGTCAGATGTTAGAATTATTGTACCTGTGGAAAATTCTTTTTTAAAGACTGACTACCTTAGCCTGTGTTCTAATGTCTAGCTAAAATATCACCCAGTTAGAGCTGCCAATTGCAATTCCCTCCTTATATTGTGTTTCCCACTTCAAAATGAGCTCAGAAATTAATGAAGATAGCATGTGTTAATCTCAGTAGTAATGGTGTGATTGACAGAACAACTCAGGATTTAAAAAGGGCAGATGTTCAATAGTGCCCACCTTTGTAATTGAATTTTCAGTGTCACAACATGGTAGACATCTTGTAACATGTCAGCTACTGTTGCATCAGGTGCATCTGTCATATAACTTAATGGAAGAGGATTCCATTTCCCAAGTTTGATTATTCCTGCAAACAAACAAAACATGAAATAATTATAAATACATATTTCTATCTATATATTTGTATCCAAACCTATATCTAGAAAGTTTACCAATTATTGTGTATTTATTACAATAGGAGAATGTTCTCCTGAAAATTTATTGTAAGTATGGAGAGTCTAAAGCTCGGCAGCCTGTAAATCTAATTTTATCTGAAAAGTCCTATAAATATATAATTTTGGTTTTGAATTAAAAAGAACTTAAAAATTACTGGCTCTTCATGTTTAATGTAATATCCTGCAATGATTGACAGTGGCTCTCTGAGCTATTTGAGAATAACAACAGAAAGTAGTTTAATGCATGTTGTTATATACTAGGTCTATACTAGACCTATGAAATGCTTCAGATTCAAACTCCAAAAAAGCATGCCACTGTTCTGGGGTTCAAAAATAGTACCTGCTTGCAAGACAGATGTGATATTTGTGCTTCCATTCATTCTGGAGCATCTTTATGGAAACAAATCAAAAGTGTTGAATAGCCCTGCATAACATAATCCTTTAGAACAGTTTACTAAACATTTGCTGGACCAGAACTGTTATGGAAAGGCTGCTAAAGAGAAGTATTTATTGCTTGACACAGAATGCCTAAAACATATCACAAAGAGAACAGAAATGTTAAAAACATGCCATTGTTTCGGTATTCACAATCTGGTGCTAAACATGCTGCAGTATAAATAGAGCCTATACTCTTATCATGCATTATAACATACAAATCTCATTTGCTGTATCATATATCTTCAGAGCTGGCTCTTTATGTTGTGTTCCCCTTGCCAACAAAAAGTTGCTTCTCTTAAAGGGGATAATTTCTAGAGATTATGTAATTACAGATCACGAAAGCATTAAACCTACTTTTGATACTTACTTGGGAGTAAAAATAACTGGAGATGTAATACGTACTATATTTACTATATATTTATTATAATTGCTTGAATATGAAAAGTTAGAAATGGATAACAAGGACACTGAAACTTCTCGAGTCAAACCTAGGTTATGCTCAAAGTATAATATAGTTGTATAGTTTGGTGCGGTGTGTGAATTCAGTGTGATTAGTTTATGGTTTGCTCATTAGATCTACCCATAAAAGCAAGTGGGACCTTAAATAGTTCAGATGAAATTTTAGAAAATTGCCTCAAACTTTCAAAATGCTAGAATGTTTCAAAATGCTAGAATGCTAAGAAGGTAGCTAGTTTAGGGGTCAGAAATATGGTTGATAATGGAGACATGTCAACCAAGTTACACAGAGAGTAAATGAAAAATCATGAGACAAATAAATAGGATCTTATAAAAGATGGTTTTTCACTCTTTTTCAAGTCACAGAATGTGTTAAAAGAATTCCTGGGATCTCTGTTCAACAGGCAAAACTCTACTGTTAGAAAATTGGCTGCATACAGGTTAACTTTTTTTCCCTTTTTTTGTCCTTGGTCTCCAACTCAAATTTTGAAACAGTTTGAAAAATCCTATTATAAGAACCAGATATTATTAGACTGCAATTGTGCTACTACCATGGTTGTCTCTACTTTCTTAAAAATGAAGAAATTGTCCTGGCAAACAGTCCATAAACACAGGTGTTACCATAACGCTCAGTGCTTTTGCACATAAACACCTGCTGCAAGTCCTTTTTGTTACAGTGCTGCAGACATGTACCTTTTTAGTGTTATTAGTTATGGATGAACACTTCTTAGCTCTCTTTGATATTCAGTTTTGTCTAGTTCCAATATCCTGCTATTTTTGAAAATAATTATACCTGGAGAAAGACACCATATTCTATCTTAAGAAAATTCATGCAGAGCATGTTCAAGGTAAAAATTGATGTGTGAAATATCAAGTCATTACTCTTCTTGTTTGCCTACTGTCCCCAAACTTAACATCTGACCTTCCTGGATATTGCTTGCAAAATTGTACTGTAGGTATACTTCATGTAATACTTTGAAAATATGGCTAGGAATTCTTGCTTCAAGTAGAAAGAGGAAAATATTGATTCTTCTTAGTGCACACCCAGATACCCACACTGAAGTGCAAACCACTAATTTTTGACAAGATAACACAGAATTTGATTCTCTAGCAACCTTTATTAGCAATAAAGCGTTTGCCGGGTGGTATTGTACTTATAACGCAGGAGAAGTTAAGGAATGTAATTTGTGAATTTCTCCTTTTAAAATGGAAAGAAGGAAGAGCTGATGCAAAGACAATGTCAAATAAAGGAAACTTGAGTCTGGGACAAACTGTAACCAGACAAAGCTACTCAGACAAGACATTCCTTAGATCTCACAAAGATAGAAGAAGGGAGAAGGGGGAAATGCATTCACACTTAGAGGATTCTACTATTATAATCTTACAATAAAAGTAGTATTAGACTGCATACATTTGGCTTCATAATCTGGTCTACTTCAAAGGGCTGACACCTTCTCATGAAGCATCGACTGCCAGCAAGAAAATCAAACCCAAATCACTCTTATTGACTTAGGATGCTTTAGTACTGGGCAAATGTAAACAAGATATTCAAACAGCAAGTTTAGTCATTTGTGAACTTGTTGAAATGGGCTATTTCTGAACATGGGTTCAGTGTTCAAAAAAGTGTTAAAACTCATGTCCAAAAAAATAAGTTGACAGGTTCAAACAAAGCAGCATAAAGGAACATAGAATCGGTTGGAAAACTCCCCCTACAACTTCCACCTTGTGCCTTTCCTTTGCAACTGACCAGCCAGAAATGTAGGCATGGGGTACTATCAAGTTTTCTTGACAAGTTAATTGGAAATAGGCACCACAGGTGTTCATGCAGACAAAAGCTTATGACAGATAGAATTTGTAGAAAATCTAATGAACCCATTATGTATGAAAGAATTGTAGTGACTGCTACAATCACCTGTCTCCAATCATTTCTGCCCACCCAATACATTCAGGCAGAGAGAGTGTACTCCAGGTCCCCTCAATTAAATGTTGCCATCTTGTGGGACTGAAGAAGCATGTTTTCTCTGTGTCTAGCCCACTGAAATAGCATTCCCACCCCCTGCATAGATATAGAGGTTATGGAAGCCCCAGCTGAGTTAAGATGTTTGTGCAGTCCCTGTCATGTTTTCAGACACTTTTCTACAGATAGTTCTTGACTTACAACTAGACATTTAACAACTGTTCAAAATTACAACAGACTTTTAAAAAGCTACTTACAAACAGTCCTTGAAGATATGACTGCCACCCCTCTCCCATGGTCATGTGATTGAATTTCAAGTGCTTAGCTATAGGTTCGCATTTAGGACTATTTGCAACATCATGCAATTTCATGACTATGAATTACAATGTTTCTTGCCAGTTTGAGCAAAAAAATGCCTATTCAGAAGGATTTGCATAACAAACGTGATTGTACATGTTTACAGCTGTAAAATCAAGCTGATCACATAACACCTCAACTTATAATCACAACAACTTACAACTAAAATTCCTATCTTCTTTGTGGTCATAACTCAAGGGCTATATGTACTGTTGTCTTTTTTCCCAATTTGTAGGCTGAAGCAATAGAAAATCCATCTGTTAAGGAGAATCACCTTCAATTAAGCAGAGAACATGTGTGACTTTTGTACATAGCAAACCTATGTAACATGGCTCACATTATCCCAAAATAAGCCATTTTGATTTAATTTTCATTTTAAAAAAACCAGGTATCAGAAAGACTATAGAAACATCAAGTCCTGATGCAAATAGTCCTGAAGAAAAATGGTTCTTCTATTTATAATGTGTGCAAACTATACTTATATTTGAGAAACATGCATTAGAAATACAAAAGTTACTCCAACCTTTTTAAAAAGAAATCTCTCAACTTGAGATAGCAATGGAATGAATGGAATGAAGCAGACTTGATTAATGGAAAGCTTAAAAACCAAGCAAAGTCAGAGTTGACATACCTAATGTATAGATGTACCTAACAAATATTTCTGAAAAGTAAAATACTTGGTTTAGCAATTTAAAAATCAAAGGAAACTATGGCTAATGGAAGAGGAGGTACATGAATGCATAAGCACAATAGATGACATTGACTGACATTGCATTTGAACCAGTGGTGGAATTCAATTTTTTTTACTACTGGTTCTGTGGGCATGGCTTGGTGGGCATGGTGTGGCTTGGTAAGCATGGAAGGGGAAGGATACTGTAAAATCTCCACTCCTTCCCCACTCTTGGGGGAAGGTTACCGCCGGTTCTCCGAAATACTCAAAATTTCTGCTACTGGTTCTCCAGAACTGGTCAGAACTTGCTGAATACCACCTCTGGTTTGAACTACATCCCAGAAAATTTATAAGTCAGAAGTATACATGTATTGTTCTCAAGACAAACCTAGAAGTAGAGTCAAGCCACAGTACTGACAAAATATGGTGAAACAAATTGGATCCAGGTAGATAAAGGAATGAGACAAAGCTTATGTTCTCCACTTATCTATTAAACCTATATGTTGAAAATACATTAAGAGAAACTGGGTTAAAAAAAATGAAACAAATGACAATAAGTACAACCACCACCCTTAAAATTGATATTTCCTTGATTAAGATATTGAAAAGATATTGAAAACAGCTTCTGTCTTTTAGGATCAATAATTAATAACAAAGGAACAAGCAGTCAAGAAATATATTGTAAACCAGTACTTGGCATGGAGGCAATAAATAAAAATCAACCCACTTGAGTCACAAATAACCAATCTCAAATAATTTCACTTCAGACACATTATGCAAAGACCTAGTTCTAAGGCTCTGATGCTGGAAAAGGTGGAAGGAAGGAAAGAAGACAATCAGTAACAAGATAGATAGACTCAGTTACAGTGATGATGAGTGAACCATTGGAAGATCTGAAAGATGAAATTAGAGACCTTTATGGCACTCATCATAGAAAAAAAATATACCGGTATCTACATAGTCACTAGGAATTAGGAGTAATGTGATGGTAAATAATCAATCAATACAAACCTTCATTCAAAAAGTTACAACTA